CTTCTTCCTCTCTCAAACCCTCTTCACTACTTTTCCTCCGACGGAAAAAAATCAAACCATCTTTTTTACCGTTCAAAAGTAGTTAATTTTTATTGGTTTAGAGGTAGTTGTTTCGGTTTTCTCCATGGCTTCTTCGACGAAAGATGTCGCTGGGATCAAGGGTCCGTGGAGTCCTGAGGAAGATGAAGCCTTGCGGAGACTGGTTCAAAACTACGGTCCTAGGAACTGGTCTCTGATCAGCAAATCGATCCCTGGTCGATCGGTGAAATCATGCAAGCTCCGGTGGTGTGACAAGCTCACGCCACAGGTCGAACACCGCCCGTTCACCTCAGACGAAGACGACACTATAATCAGAGCTCATGCCCGGTTTGGGAACAAGTGGGCTACCATCGCTCGCCTGCTCAATGGTCGTACAGTTAGCGCCATTAAAAATCACTGGTACTCCACCCTCAAGTGGAAATCCTCTGCCATGATGGATGACTTGAACGACGATGTAAGTTCTATTTTCAATTTTTTCAAAAAATACCCCAGATCTGGGTTTGAGAGAGGAAGAAGAAGGGAGAAGAGAGAGAGAAAAAATAAGAAGAAGAAAGAAGAAGAATGAGCAGGGAAAGGAAGGAGGAGGGTTGATAGAGAATGAGGAGGAAAAACTGTGAAAGGAAGAAAGGAGGAAGAAGATGACGTATGAGAGAGAACGTTTGCAGAGGTAAGGCAAAAGGAAAGGTAAAGGAAAGAGAAAAGTAAAAGAGAAAGAGCGATCATTTTTTTTTATGTGGATGAAAAATGAAATCATTATTTTTAAATTAAATAAAAATATCCACTCATAAAAAATGATGGGCAACTATTTTTTTTTTTTTTTCATGTCATTTGGTAAGAAAAAAAGAATTGATTTGCTGGGGTTCATTTAACCGACAAAAAAGATTGTTTTGATATTAAAAATGAAAGTTAAGGGAAAGTTAAAAGATAATTTTAGTGTGAAAATGAAAAATTGAGAGATTAAAATGGTATTTAAACCTTAATTATGGGTATGAGAGAAAGAAAGAGGGAGATTTGGAAGATGGAGAAGAAATGGAGATGGAGAAAGAGATAATGGGAAAAATTTTACACTTCAAATTTTTTTTAAAATAAAAAAATTATGACCCCAATGAGAGATTGTACCTATTATCCTATTGACTTGTTAATTGTTATATTTCAGGAAAATGAATCTGATGATATCTCAGCAAACAGAGGCAAAGCTCTGCACGTGTCACTTCTGAGCAGAAATACAAGTTCTGCTTCAAGAAATTTGGAAAATGAACGTGATATTGAAGCAAATAGAGGCAATGCTTGGGATGGATCGGGTCAGAATTACAGACAGGTAATAGCCAAACCAAAATAAAACATTAATTTTTTTTTTTTTAACTTAGGGCATTTTAGCAGTGGAAGGAAATTAGTAGTGCTTAGGTGTAAGATTTCATGTTTTAACACCTTCCTATCAAAGGAGTATGGCTACTGGACCACTTAGTATTAGAAAAAAAAAAAAAAAAAAATAAAATTTTCATAAAAAAAAAAAAAAAAAATCATGACCCCGATGAGAGATTGTACCTATTATCCTATTGACTTGTTAATTGTTATATTTCAGGAAAATGAATCTGGTGATATCTCAGCAAACACAGGTAAAGCTCTGGATGGGGCACTTCTGAGCAGAAATGCAATTGCTGTTCCATTATTTCTGGAAAATGGATATGGTATTGAAGCAAATAGAGACAATGCTTGGGATGGATTGTGTCAGAATTACAGACAGGTAATAGCCAAACCAAAATAAAACATTAATTTTTTTTTTTTAACTTAGGAAATTTTAGCAGTGGAAGGAAATTAGTAGTGCTTAGGTGTAGAATCTAAGATTTCATGTTTTAACACCTTTCTATCAAAGGAGTATGGCAACTGGACCACTTAGTATTAGACTAAAATAAATTTAAAAAAATTTCAAAAAAATAAAAAAAGTATGACCCCGCTGAGAGGTTGTACCTATTATCCTATTGACTTGTTAATTGTTATATTTCAGGAAAATGAATCTGGTGATATCTCAGCAAACACAGGTGAAGCTCTGGATGGGGCACTTCTAAGCAGAAATACAATTGCTGTTGCATTATTTCTGGAAAATGGATATGATATTGAAGCAAATAGAGGCAATGCTCGGGATGGATCCGGTCAGAATTACGGAGAGGTAATAGCCAAACCAAAATAAAACATTAATTTTTTTTTTTTGCCACTTAGGGAATTTTAGAGGTGGGGGAATTTTTGGATAAAAGGTAAATTTATTTATCCCATAACTGTCTATACACAAGCAAGCAGTAATTTATTGCTGCTACAAAGAATAAAATGCAGAAACTATTTAATCTATACTATCTTTGCAAAACAGCTTCAATCCCCCGATTGATTGCTTGCAAATTGAATATCACGGAGAACATAGGCATTGTAACACAAGCCTTTAGCCAATCAACAAATTGGGCAGGGAAATCAAGGGCTATAAATGTTTGGAAAACAAAATCCCAGCAGTGTTGTCGAAAGCAATCACTTCACCGCTTAAAATGATGAAGCAAAGCGATAAGAGGCACCACCGCTTCAAAATTTCTGAAGTGCTCTACTTAAAAGAAGCAGTCCCAAAGCAATTGAAGCGATAAAAGTGCTTGATGTTGAAGTGATCCCTTCTTTAAAATGACACAAAATGACAAAAAAAAAAAAAAAAAAGTATAAAAGCATTAAGGGTTTAAATTGGAATTTTGACTCCAATTAGAGCAAAAACAGGAAGCTCTGTGCCTGCTGACTACCTCTTCCCCTAATTTTCTTTGTGATTCCATTGTCTTTTGACTTTATCAATTCATTTGCCACTTACAGGAAAGTCTTTTCTTGTTTCTATCTTTTTTTTCTTTTTTTTTTTAGTAATTTGCATATTCTCCTTCCGATCACTTCTTCTTCCCTGACTTCATCCTCTTCCCTAACTTTATGACATATTCTCTTCTTTCTTCCTCTTTTATTATTATTATTATTTTTTTCTATCAGTAGATTATCTTAATTTAGTTAAGATAAAGTTTCATGTAAATATTAACAGAATTCTCTAGTATTGTCTTAATTCTATGCATTTCTTCTTTATCCCTCCTTTATCTTCAACTTATAGTATTCAGATCTATCTAGTCTAGGGGACCTTGATTAAGAAACTTAATATCACCTGTATAGTATAGATTGAAATAGTCAGTTTTTCACTTTATAAGACTCCTGAATTTTAATTCCAAAACAGAATTTAGTTCTACTTGCACTAAGAAAAGTAGAATTTAATTTAAACCTGTTACTTGCACCGTATTCTACTTGTCCACTCTTAATACTCTTAATATAACAACTGAAACATATAACAACCATGCACCTGAGTAGACTTCCAGAACTCTTTTACCATGGCAAGAAAATGTTCATGCTTTGCCCAAAAATTGAATTCCTACCCTCTTTTTCCTCAAGCAAGTTAATTTCCACAGATATCATGGTCAGAGCAACCGGGACGAAAGAAAGCTGCTGTAGTGTTTGGGAAAGCATTCAACCAGAATTCATTCACCAATAATCTATTAAGCTTCTTTCCAGTGGGACCTATGCATTTCTTATTTGACCAAGTAAAGAAAGAGCCTGTAGATAACAAATCATGTAGTTCAGCCTCATTAAGCTTTTCATGGAACATCTTAGATTCCTTAGGAAGACAAGGGATGGATTGCTAATCCGATCATTCACATAAAGATTTAATTTCATTAAACTCTCCTTCAACCAGCCAAGGCACTGCAGGTAATGCTTGGCTCAAAGCTACCAATTCTCTCCACATCTCTTGCCTCAAACTATCAGAGTAGGGATTAGCATAGATGACACTTAGAAACTGGTACTGATTGATGGATGTCTTGAGGACATGACAATGAATAGCCTAGTGATGCATACTAGATATAGTAATTTAAATATATGGCTTATGAAATATCTAGATCCTTCCTAATCTAGCATGCTCATAGTTATTAGGTGTAGACCAGCCAGGTAACAAAAAATTAGAAACCTTGAGAAAGTTCTGCTGTTGCACATGGGTTTCTAACAAACAAACTATATCAGCATTATGTTGAGCAAAGTAACTCTTGAAACGTCTTTGTTTGCTTGGCATATTAATGCCTCTCACATTCCATTTAATGATCTTCATTTAAATTGGGAAGAAGATACCTCACTAGAGGAATTTGAACTTTTCCTGGACTGTCTTTGTCTAGGGACTAATGCATTAGTAGCTATAGCAACACCTTTGGAGGCCATCCTTGTTTTCCTCACCTTAGGAATAGCAGCAGCATCAGTCTCAGCTGCATTGTCTAATGTAGCAAAGGAATTGCCAATCAAGAGGCTAGGTGAAGGCTTATGCTGAACAACTTGAATATCCTTAGCAGGTTGAACCACTGGTATTTTAGATACATCTGTTATTTCTAGCATTAGAACACCACTCATTGGAGCTTCAGTTGCTTCAAACATCTTAGATTGCTCTATTTTCTTGCCTTTGGAGACTGCCATCCATTCCTGCTTAGGAGCAGGTTTAGTTGGATGCTGAGGACAATCATGACTAGTCTGCCGCTCCTTTTTGCAAATTTCACACTTAACAGGAAGCCAAGGGTACTCAAACAAGACACACACTTCTGATTGATCATCAAGAACAGGTGTAGATTCAGGGAGCATATGAGTTTTTATCAATATCAACCTCAACACAGACCTGAACATAATTGATATGAGTACTCTGCTCCGTAGCCTTGTCAAGAGACAGAGGCTTCCCAATGGCACTAGCACTATAGCTCAGGCCTGTAGGAGTGTAAAGAGACGTAGGACTCCCCACATCTTAACCCAAATCGGCATCTTCGTGGTCTTCATTCCATACAATTGAATCTTGGGCTCCCATTGTCGCAAATACAGGATTTTATAATATATAATCATGAGGAAAACATGATATTTTAAATTAGTAATTTTTTTTAACATTAGATGATTAGTTATATAATAATGATATATAGCCCCAATTTCCACACTTCCCTAGTGAAGAATGTATTCCAATTTGAAATTTTCATTCAAGATTATAATTCTTAACTACTATGACATCTTTTACTGAACATTTTAAATTAGTAATTTGCTAACTTGAATAATCAATATTTCCCACAGGTTCCTTTATGGGAGTGGATTTTTTTGGTCCTCAACTTGATCGTGGAGCTTCCCACTGCTGTTTTTGACCAGCTTTCATCCCCGCATAAGCCTCTTTATGCGCTAGTGGCGATGGCGTTGTCCCTCCTAGCCTTGGTACTTTGTGTCATTCAGCTGCTCTACAAGGGAGTAAAAGAAGGAGTCACCTTTGAGTGTCTAGGAGGCAAGATACCCTGGTTTTATTCTCATCCATCTGGCGCTCAGAATCCCAAGCGTTTTGGTACCTTTGCAGATCTCATGGGCTTGCTTAGTGCCATATCCCAATGCATTGTTACAGCAATCAATTATGATTTTGCGCGAAGGGCTGCTAATAGTCCTATCAAATTCTCATTGTTGCCTATTATCTTTGCTCTTTGCCTTTTATTTTCAAGAATTTTAGAGACCGTAGAGAAAAAGGCTTCAGAGGGACAAGATGCTTGAGGACGGTTTCTGATCAGGTTACGGTGTAGCGTTGTCACGGCAAATGGATATGGTTCTTCGGTTCTTGCTGCTTTGTTGTGTTTTAAGAATGCTGTAATACAAAATCTCTAATATTTTCTTATTGTTCCTTTCATTTTTTTTCTTATTAATAATATTTTCCCACTGGGGCGGGCACAGAACAGAACCACCGCCATGTTCTTCGAATTCTGATCAGCTTTTCAATTTTTGTGAAGTCGTTAGAAGGCAGAGTATTCTCTTATTGCCTACAATTACTGGTATGGCATCATTAATTTTCATTTATCCTGTCATTTTTACTCTCTCCTTTCCAAACTATTGTTTTTTAAGTTGATTTTGTCACAAATTTATTGTTATTTTTTAAAAATAAATAAATATTTTTTTAAAGTCTCACTTTTGTCTCTTATTTTTATTAAAAGTAATATAAATAAATATATAAACTATTCTTAAATTTTTTAACTTGGAGAAATAGTAAAAAAGCCACAATTATTTTAGGATAGATTAAGTAATTTTTTATGTACTCAAAAATCTTTTAAGGTGTGTTTTTTTAGTACATCTTTTAAAATAAGTTTAGTTTAAAAAAAAATTAAGAAGAAGAAAACTCTTTCATCTCATTCAGATAAATAAAAAATAAAAATAAAATAAAATAAAATAAAGGACTTGTCCCTCTCCCTTCTCCTTCGATTTTATTGGTAATTAAATAGATGAATATCTCCACTATCTCTCCCTTCTCTTCCCTCAATCCAAATGGTACCCATAGTATTCTCTTTTTAGATATTTTAATATTAAGACATTTAAACTGAAAATCCCAATGAAACATTGGATTGGTAACTAATTAAGTTGGTCATAAAAAGCTAGAGATTAAGATTTAGTTTGATAGTGCTGAATTGTGGCTATAATTATAGGTTTTAATATTTTAAAAATATATAAAATGTATTTAATATTTATTTTAATAAATATTTTATATATTTTTAAAGTAATAAAAAGATATTAAAACCAAATATTAAAGTATCAATAAGCGTTTTCAAATGAAATTTAAATCATTCTAGTGGTAATCTCTATTCTAATAAAGTGTTGCTTTTTAATTTTTTTTCTAAATAGATTTAAGAATAATCTATATATTTATTTATATTATTTTTCAAAAATAAAATATATAATAAAGAGAAATTTTTTGTGATAGAATAAATATTTAAAGTAAATGAGTTAAAGTAAAAAAATTATATATCTATCTTAAAAAATTAGAAACAACAAATAATTTAAGACAAATTTAAAATATAAAATGCAATTATTTCCAATACAAATAGAGTATTAATGAGCGTTTACATGTGAGTTAGGTAGTAGCTAGTTTTGAAGTAAAAATTAATATAAATACAAAAGTAAAAGTTCTTTATTATTAGTGCAGGAATCCATGAATTAAATAAAGAAATTTTCTAATTGTAGCTTAACATATATTTTAAGAGTATAATTAACAAAAAAATTTTAAGGATATATTTATTGTAATTTTTTATTATTAATTGATATATAAAATAAAAATTCACTTTAATTTTATTAATCATATAATTTAAAATATTTTATATAATATTAGTGTTAAAAATATAATTTATTTTTATAATTTTTTTAAAAAAATTAACAATAAAAAATATAATAAATGCATTATTAATTTTTCAAATATAACAAGCGGAGTAAATTAGTCTAAGATAGTTTCTCCGAATGTTCTTCACCCCCCAACCAAATCCAAGTATCCAACCCAACCCGGGAGTCAAGAGGCTGAATGGAATTATGGAAGTATGAATGGAAATTATCGGTAGGGTACGAGATTTCGGAGGCAAATGAAGCGAAACCTCATGGAAGTTGAAATGAAAAGCAAACGAAACCTCGAAACCGTGTTGATGCAGTCTCATTTGGGCAAATATTATCAATTGGGAAAGTTTCCTTTCATTAGCAAAAGTGAAAATAGGGGACTAGCGGTCAAAAGTTGTTTCAAACTTTGCATGCCACATATTAACCATGTGAAAAATACTGACTGGCAGTCAAGAATAAGATGACCCACGTGCATGTGTGGTCCGCTGCCTTTAACAGTAACCATGTCCACCTATAACGACAATTCATGAGATGACTCAGCCTAGGGACATTTGTCTGCCCATGTCTGTATCAGATGATTCAGATTTGAGGGATCGCAGCTTTAAATTTTATTTTTTTTTAAATCTCTCTTCATCTTTTATTTTGTTAAAATAATATAAATAAATATATAAATTATTTTAAAATT